GCACGAAGGGCGAGTTGTCGTTGGCGTCCAACACCAGCACGCGCACCAGCGCCTCGCTGCTCAGCTCCGGGGAGCCGCGGTCTGTGGCGCCCACGCGGAACTCGAACGCCTGCAGGGCCTCGTAGTCCAGCGACCTGAGGGCGAACAGGTGGCCGTTGTCTGCGTTGATGGAGACCAGGGAGACAAGGGGCAGGTGAGGGTCCTGGGGCGGCAGTAGCGAGTAGGTGACCAGGGCGTTGGTACCTGAATCTCTGTCTGTGGCGCTGACACTGCCGATGTGCAGGGCGGGGCTGTTGTTCTCACGGACGAAGAGGGTGTAGGAGGTTTGGGTGAAGGCGGGGGCGTTGTCATTGACGTCGGAAACCAGCACGGTTATGTTGTGCTCGGTTTTCAGCCTGGGTGTCCCCAAGTCGGTGACGGTGATAGTGATGTTGTACTCGGCTTGGCTTTCTCTGTCCAGTGTTCTCTGTGTCACTAGGGTGTAAAAGTTTTTTAATGTGGGCTTCAAAAGAAAGGGGAGATCATTCTGAATGGAACAAATCATCCTACCGTTGTCCCCGGAGTCTGGATCAGAAACACTGAAAACAGCAACTATAGTTTCTGGGGCATTTTCTGGGGTAGGGCTGGAGAGCGTCGACATGGTGAGTTCAGGGGCGTTGTCATTCACATCCACCACTTCTATAGCCACAGTGCATTTTCCTGAAAGGCCCCCACCATCTGTGGCTACAATTTCCACGTTATAATACGGAGTTGCCTCGAAATCCAATGCCCTTTTCAGGCGAATTTCTCCTGTTTTTTCGTCTATTGCAAATGGTTGAGTAACTTCATCGCCTTGGAATAGAGCATAGGCTACACTTCCGTACGCTCCTGCATCTAAATCTCGGGCGGAGACAGCGACAACTAAGGAGTTAAGGGGGCTGTTCTCGGGCACCTGTACCTCATAGAGTGATTGCAAAAATTCAGGGGGGTTGTCATTATTGTCCAAGACGACAATGCGAACTGTGGTGGTCCCAGACCTGGGCGGAGCACCACCATCCAGTGCAGTGAGTGTTAAGCTGAGCTCAGGCCGCTCCTCCCGGTCCAGAGCTTTGTCCAGCACCAGCTCTGGGTATTTTCTGCCATCTCCGCGATTATGAGTAGCAACATGAAAGTGGGAATTTGTGCTGATTGTGTAGTTCTGAACAGTGTTGCTACCTATGTCAAAGTCCTGGGCTATTTTTAAAGGAAACACAGTCCCTGGCTGGGTGCTTTCTGGGATTTTTAGGAGCATTTCCCTCTCTGGGAACTCTGGAGAATGGTCATTTATATCTGTGAGCTGCAGATCAGTTTGAAAAAACTGCACTGGGTTTTCTAGTAAGAGTTGGAAATGCAATATACAGGGTTCTGTCGTCCCGCACATCACCTCCCTGTCTAGTTTTTCATATAGAAGCAAATTGCCGGTCTTTATATCAAGCTGCAAGAGCTCTTTGTCTCCTTTGTAATGGATTCGCGCGCTCCGAGTGGCCAGTTCCCCCACCCTAAGACCAAGGTCTTTTGCCAGGTTGGCCACAGAATAGCCACTTTCTGTTTCTTCTGGTATGGAATACCTAACTGCCTCAGAGCCAGCCTCCCACAAAAGCAACAGTATAGCAAGAAACATAACTTGCCTTTTCTGTGGCGTTTTTGCTAGCGCAGTCTCCATTGTTCAGACCCGGTCCAGAAGGCGCAGTTTCTTTAACTCTGTATACAATCCACCCAGATGATTTGCTTAAATAACCGCGAATCCGATCTTTCTTAACTGATTTCCACAAGAACGACGCCCATTCTGAAGATCTAGCCACTAGATCTTACCTAAAATGCGTCCTTCTTTTAGGAAGCATTCAGGCTTTGGATTTCTCAGCTTAATGGCGTCTGAGTTATCCGCAGAGCCCACTATCCACACTCTTAGCCTGCAGCGCCACCAGGCGTCCTAATTTACTATTGCATATAGTATTTGCCATTTCATCCTAAATTCTAACCCTGACGTGTATGCATACCCTTTTGTCCCATAAGCTCTCCCGGTGGTATCTCCAGCTCTTAGTTACTGAAAGTTCTAAATAAACGTTGTGGAGTTAATTTTCAGTGAGAGAATACTTTTGAGAAAAAACTAAAATTATATATTAATCTCCATAAAAGTACCCTTGAGTACACAAATATAACTTTATTTGGTGTTTCTTATTTGATTATATTAAATAAGTGATCATGAATAGCTATAGAGATTTAAAGTTTAAGAAAAATTACTTTCACTTTGAAGTAAACACCAATAACACCCAGAAAATGGCACAAATCATAGGTGTACAACTCAATGAATTTCGCAAAGTGAACGCACTCCTATAAGTAGAACCTAGATCAAAAATACTACCCAAACCCAAGTCCCCACCTGCTATTGTCTGGTTACTGCCCTCTCCCCAAAAGATAAGCACTGTCCTGACTTCTGTTGTCATAGGTTTTTTTTTTTTTTTAACTTTATACAAACGGAGTTATAGATTGTTACTCTCATGTGTCTGGCTTCTTCTCCTCAATATTATGTTTGTCAAATTGATCTGTGGCATCTTGTTCTTATTTGTTTTATTCTCATTGCTTTTTATTATTCTGTTGTATGAATATACTATGATTTGTTTATTCATTTTCCAGTTTATGAACGTTGTTTTTTTTTCCAGGTTTAAACTATTTTGGGTAGTACTGGTATAAACATCCTTGTACTAGTCTTTTGGTGACCACATGTATGTGTTTATGTTGAATATTTTCAAAGGATTTGGATTGCTGTGCATTAAGGTGTGCACATATATGTTGCTTTAGCAGATAATGGGAAAGTTTTCTCAAGTAGTTGTACTAATACCAGCAAAGTATGAGAGTTCCAGTTGCTCCACATTCTTGTCAACATTTGATGCTATCTTTTCCATTTTAAACCACTCTAGTTAGTGTTTGGTGATCTCATATTGTAATTTTAGTTAGCATTTTCCCCAGTGATTAAACAATTTGAGCACATTTTCCTGTTTATCGGCCATTAGGATACAATCCTGTGAAGGGCTTACACAAACCTTTTTACTTTTTTGGGGGGAGGCATTTGCCTGTTTGCTTATTGATCTGCAGAAGTTTCTCATATATTCTGGGTATAAGTCCTTTTTCAGATATATGTATTGCAAATATCTTTTCCCACTCTATGGTTTATATTTCAAGTCTATTATGTGTCTTTGATGAATACGATTTCTTCACTTTAGTCAGATTTGTCAATAATTTTCATTTATGATTAGCATTTTTTGTGTTCTATTTAAATGTTCACATACTCCAAGGTCATGAAAATATTCTTATATGATGTATTTTGAAAGATTAATTATTCCACTTTTCACATTTAGAGCTATAATCAACCTGAAATTAACTTTTCAAGTGAATGAGGTTGGAGTCAAAAATTTTAAAATATAAGTATCTGAATGCCTTAAACTTTTGCACCATCTATTTAAAAAACAATCCATTTTCCATTGTTTTTGAAATGTCATCTTTGTTATAAATTAGGTAACCATAGCTCTGAAGATGTTTTATTCAATCTTGTTTATCCTATAATAACTCATTGTGTTAATTATTATGGCTTTATCATGAGTTTTGTTATCTAAGAAGTAAGTTATCCAGTTTTTTAAAAGTAGACTTTAATTTTTAGAATGGTTTCAGGTTCACAGCAAAAATGAGAGTAAAGTACAGAGATTTCATACATACGCCTGTCCCCACACAAGCACAGCCTCACCCATTATCAACATCCTCCACCAGAGTGGTTCATTTGCTACAGCTGATGAATCTACATTGGCATGTCATTATAACCTGGAGTCCATAGTTTACATTAGGGCTCACTCTTGGTGCTGTATATTCTATGGCTTTGGACAAATTAAAAATGATGTGTATTCACCTTTATAGTGTCATACAAAGTAGTTTCACTGCCCTAAAAATCCCCTGTGCTACACTTATTTATACCTCCCTCCCTCCCCTAGAACCCAATGTAAATGGATTTTCTTACTCTCTCCACAGTGCTGCTTTTCCTAGAGCACCATGTAGTTGAAATCATACAGTATGTAGTCTTTTCAGACTGGCTTCTTTCACTTAGTAATATCCATTTAGATTTCCTCAATGTCTTTTCATGGGTTGGTAGCTCATTTCTTTTTGATACTGAATAGTATTCTGCAGGTTGAATGAACTGCAGTTGTTTATCCATTCACCTACTAACCGACATCTTGGTTGCCTCCAAGTTTTGGCAATTATGAATGAAACTGGTATAAATATCCATGTGCAGGTTTTTGTGTGAACATAAATTTTCAACTCCTTTGGGAAAATACTAAGGAACATGAGTGCTGGATAACATGGTAAGAGTATATTTTGTTTTGTATCAAGCTACCAAACTGTCTTCCAAAGTGTCTGTACCATTTTGCATTCCCACCAGCAATGAAAGAGCTCCTGTTGCTCTCATTACCAGCATTTGGCACTGTTAGTATCCTGGAGTTTGGCCTTTCTAATAGGTGTGTAGTCGTATTTCACTGTTATTTTAATTTACATTTCCCTGTTAATATATGAAATGGAGAATCTTTTCATTTGTTTATTTGCCACCTGTATATCTTCTTTGGTGAGGTGTCTGTTAAGGTCTTTGGCTCATTTTTAAATTGGGTTCTTGTTGCTGAGTTTCAGTCATTCTTTGCGTATTTTGAATAACAGTCCTTTATCAGATATGTCTTTTGCAAATATTTTCTCCTAGTTTATGTCTTGTCTTTTCATTCTCTTCATAGTATCTTTTGCAGAGCAGAAAGTTTTAATTTTAATGAAGTCCAGCTTATTAACTCTTGCTTCTATGGATCATGACTTTGGTGTAGTATCTCTAGTTTGGTTCCTTTTCGTCAAGGTTCCTTTGGTTATTACTGTTTTTGTATTTTCAAATAAACTTAACATTCAGCTCATTAATTTTCACAAAGAAAGCTGCTGACATTTTGTTTAAGATTTTATTGAATCTATAGAATGACTAAGGGAGAGCTGACATATTCCCAACACTGAGTCTTCCAACTAGTGAACATTGTATACTCCCGTAATTATTTAGATCTTCTTTAAGCTTTCTCAATATTTTAGTTTTCAATGTAGAAGTCTTATAAATATTCAACTAGATTTGTTTATAAATAGCTGCTATTTTTGAAATTATTGTGCATAATATTTAAATTTTTCACTTTTTTGTTGCTATATAGAAATAGAACTCATGTTTGTATGTTGACCTTGTATCCAGTGGCATTGTTAACTTCATTTGTTAATTCTAGTAGCCTGTAGATTCTTCATGGCTTTCAATGTATACAATCATGTCTACTTAAAAAGACATTTTTATTTTTTCCCCTCGAATCAGAGTGCCTTTTATTCCTTCTTTGCTTTATTCCGCTGTTTAGGACCTGTGATAGAATACTAAATTGGAGAAGAAAAGACAGGTATCCTTGTTTCATTCTTGATCTCCAGGGGAAAGTTTTTGAAAATTTGTCATTAATGATGTTTCCTGTAGGTTTTTAAAATCACTCTGAAAGTTCCCTTTGATTTTAGTTTGCTAATAATTTTACCACTACTGTGTGTTGAATTTTGTTACATGATTTTTTCCTGTATCTGTTGAAATAATCATGTTTTTTTCTTTATCTTTTAATATGGTAAATTACAATGATCAATTTTCAAATATTAAACTGTCTCTGTATTCCTAAAATAAACTCCATTTTCCAATTATTATTTCTCTTTCATACATTTTAAATTTTTATTTGCTAATATTTTTAAAAATGAATTTTCCATATATATTTATAAAAAAGAACAGTTGGTAATTTTTGTTTCTTATAATATCCTATTCAGGTTTGAATGTTATAACCTGTTCAGATTTATGCTGGCACCCAAATGATTTGGAAAATGTTGTCTATTTTTCTACTCTCTGAAGGAGTTTGTACAAATTAGTGATAATTTTGACATAAGTATTTGGGAGAATTCACTTCTGTGAATTAGAGTGGGAAGGTTTTTAATGAACAACTTTCATTAATATAATAGATATGACTAATCAGATCTTAATTTTGTCCTGTTTTTAAAGGATGGTTTCTGTTTTACATAAATTGTCAAGTTTGTTGGCATAAAATTGTTCATAATATTTCCTTTTTATATTTTAAATGTCTGTAGGTTGGTAGTTTTTTTGTTTGTTTGTTTTGTTTTGTTCTTTTTTTGAGACGGAGTCTCGCTCTGTCGCCCAGGCTGGTGGGCAGTGGCGCGATCTCCGCTCACTGCAAGCTCTGCCTCCCGGGTTCACGCCATTCTCCTGCCTCAGCTTCCCGAGTAGCTGGGACTACAGGCGCCCACCATCACGCCGGGCTAATTTTTTGTATTTTTAGTAGAGACGGGGTTTCACCATGTTGACCAGGCTGGTTTCAAATTCCTGACGTCGTGATCCGCCCGTCTCTGCCTCCTGAACTGCTGGGATTACAGGTGTGAGCCACTGTGCCCGGCCTCAATTCTTTTTTAAATATTTGAGGCTTCATTCATGACAAAGAACATGAACAATTTTTATATATCCCACAAGCATGTAAGAAGAATGTGTATGCTCCAGTGTGCTATGTATGTCAATTTATTTGAATATGATGTTCGTGTGGTTCGGATCTTCAATATTTTTTGTATGTATGTGTTTTTTCTTCTTATTCTAACAGGAATTGAGAGAGTTGTATTAAATCTCCCAGTGTAACTGGGTTTGTCTACTTTGTATTCTGTCAACTTTATATATTTTGTAGTTATCTAATTGGGATGTATTCAGGCTTAAAACTAACATATTTCTGGTATATTTACCTCTAAAACTTCTCTTTATCTCTAGTAATGTATCTTTCCTTGAAGTCTCTTTTCTCTTACATAAGTATACCTACTTAGATTT